TTCAGGGCGTAGTTCCAGAGGCTGCTAAACCTCCTTCAAGCACTGCAACCCGTCAGTCCGGTTGTGGAAGTCATGCCTTCGAGGTGTTGTAAGCCATTTGGGGGGTCTTTCGGGCTCTCAGGGTTTATGGTTCAGGGTTTGGGTTACGGGCTGCAGGCTAAAGGTTTAGGCTTGAAGCCTCACAGACTGATTGAACTAGGGCTTCCGGCTGAAGTTACACGGCTGAAGGAAGGCTACGGTACGGGATTTCCATTGCGGTAATGTTGCTTGGGTTGTACCAGATTCGGGATTTGCAGGTATAGACGCTCAGAGCTTTCAAGGTTTATCCCTGCAGTTTGGGTTGCTTTGGGGTCTGGGCTTTGGGGGTGTCAGGGGTTCCGGCTTCGGCTTTGCGGTTTAGTACTTCGGAGAAATCAACCGCTAACACCGCAACCCAAGACCGATGCTAAATCTCCAACACAGGCCAGCGGCGGCGAAAGCGCAGAGGGGAGGAGTGCCTGAAGGATGGGTTTGGGGGATGCTGGAAGTTGCACTTCAAAATGTCAGGGTTTTGTAGTTCACTGCTCAGGGCCTTTCAAGTTGATTGGCTGGCTGGGCAAGGGCCTTGGGTCTTTGGGGCTTCGTGCTGCCAGCCCCTGTGTTCAGTCTCCACATGACCATCATCATTCGCAGCAGGCAGCAGCAGAACAAGAAAGAGAAATCAATCAGCCACCTGACGCAGTTTATCTGTCGTGATGCAGGTGGAGGCGTAAACACGAAAATCAGACCTTGGCTCGAAAGGAGAAGTTTATGGCCTCGGATCGCTTGATATCTAAGGCTTGCGGTTTAGAGCTTGCGGTTTTGGGTTCGGGATAACAGGCGTCTTCTTAAGCCACCGCAAAACCCAGCGACGGGTTTAGGGTCTTGAGGCCTCAGGCCTTAAACCCCCAAATTCCTAACCCTAAAGCCCTTAGACCCTAAACACTTAAACCCCTGAACCCTCCAACACTAAACCCCAAACCCCTTTAACCCTCGAGCGTGTCAGACCAGGTCCCCAGCAGCGTGCAAAACCAGCACGGCGCTAAGCCTCGCGACCACGTCATCCAGGGTTTAGGGTTTAGGGTTACGGGTTTTCACGGGAGACTTCTGGGGTTCAGTGGCCTTTCGCATGGGTGTATTTTTAATGAGAGTCTTTAGAGTATCATGGCTCCTGGTGGATTTTATAAGGCTTAACTTAACAACCAGAAGAGGGTTTGGGGGTCTAAGCTCAGGAACCAAAAAAGTCTTGTCACGTATTCAGGACCGGATTGATTGAGGGATTTTGAAGTTGAGGGACTTGAGGTTTAGTGGTTGAGGAATCAAGGGTTTAGGGTTTAGGGGTTCAGGCGGTGTAAGTTTCGTGTTTCAGAAGTTGAGGGTATTGAAAGGCTTCGATATTGCGGGGTTGCTGATGACGTGGAGACTTTGGTTGTTGGGCGAACATGACGACTGTAGGCAAGAAATGGCTCCATGCGCGGTTGCTCAATCCTGGAGCTGCGCCCTTGAAGCCGGAAGCAATGACTTATGGCTCCTGTCCCTGCATGAGTCCTCGTTGTGTTTGATCGCCTTCGTGCAGGTAAACATGCGAGATGTGAAAATAAGAATTTCCTTTCCGTCGTCGGTGGAAATCATCAAGTGGGCAGCGGCTTCCGAAAAGAGCAGAATTACAACTGATGGGCTCCTATCGCACAAGCAGACGATGTCCTTCTACCCAGGCTTCCTTTCCCTCCCCTTTCTCAGGTTCACATCATGATCAGCCTCGATCAGCTGCACGCTCTCCTCTTGGCCATGGACGCATGCACCGACAATCGCTCTCGCGCCATCAAAGCGCCATCTCTTGCATGCGCCGCGTGCATGCCCGTCATTGATATTACAGAAAGCCTGGTTGGCAACGGCTTCCAAAAGCATGCGGACTATGTGCACGTGTCCTTTGTCACATGCACAAACGAACGCTTTGCTGCCATCAATGACCTTCACCCAACCATTGTCACCAAATGCCAGAATCATGCGGACAATCTCAACGTGGGCTTGGTCACACGCGAGAGCCAAAGCTGTGCTGCAATTTCTGTTCTCTAAGTTGATGTTGGTTCCAGTCATTGTTAGCAACAGATTTGTGCAATCTCAGTGCCGGCTTGCTCGCATGCAAGAATCCACGCAGTGCTGCCACTTTTGTTGACCCGCTGCGTTTTCGCACCAGAGTGTGCGAGCAATCTCAACATGGCCCTTGGCACATGCACAACTGAGGGCTGTGTTGCCATCTATGTTCTTCAATTCCACAATAGCCTGGGCTTCCAACAGCACGTGCGCAATTGTCACATGCAATTATAAAGGCTGAATTGCCAGCTTTGTTCTCCAAATCTATGTTTGCTAGATCCTTGCTGGCACCGGCTTCCAAGAGCACCTGCAAACTCTCAACGCGGCATCTGTCACATGCACGTATAGGCACTGTGTTGCCTCCAACAACATCCTTCACATGCGGAATGGCGCCTACTCGGAAGAGCACGCTTGCGATCTTAATGTGACCGCTGTCGCTTGCCCGAATGAGGGCTGTATTGCCAGCAATGATGTCCTTGAAATTTGGGTTAGCAATAGCATGCACACAATCTCGGCGTAGAAATCAGAGATGCGTTGCCCATGGTTTTCAGCCCGTTGCTAAGTCCAGCCTCGAACAGCAGCAATCGAACGGCTTCAACATTCCCTCTCCCAGAGGCACGAACCAGCCGGCGCACAGTTTCTCCGGATGCTGATACCGGTACGGGTGCAGACAGGTGCAATCAGTTCAACCCATCAGCACCATCATCCAAACTGCAGTCGGCAAGCACGAGTTGTTGCATACACTTTGGAAAGTCATAAAGTAAGGTCAGGTGCTCCTTCAAAGTTTTCACAGTCAGGCCCCGGCAGTCACCGCAGCCAGCTCTTGACCTAAAAGCCTCGAGACGCAGATCATCTGAATTAACCGAAGGATGCACAATAAAACAGACCACACTGGCCACACTGGCGCGCGTGAATGTGAAGCCAAGCATTGCAGCCCCACGGATCGAGATGACGAGAGCAAGATTCAGCAAAAACTGCAGGTACGACAAGTCCGTGTCTGCGCAGTTCAAAATCCGCAAACACTGCATGGCCCGCCACAGCTGTAGAAATAAGTGGTGTCAATTCGGACCTAGGGCCCTTTGGTCGAGGATTTGCTTTGAAGTTGTAAGAGCTCGGATTCGGGCTTGGGTCTCCAGGTTTGCATGTAGGATTCAGAGCCTTGAACGTCAGAACGTCAAGAACTGCTAAGGCTCGAAAGCTCTGGGTTCCAGATGAAGCAAATGCCGCCACGGTGCTGGAGGAGTGAGGCCACGAGGAGCAGCAGCTCCATGGTGAGGCGCGCACACCTGGCAGGCACGGCTCGAGCTTCTGGGTTTTCATTGCACTCCCTCCCGAAAAGGGCAAAGGAACCCGGACCGAAAGAAACCTGAACCCTAAACCCCTGAAATTCTGAACCCCGACACCAAACAAATCCCTGAAGCTTGAACCCTGAACGCTTCAAGGTGTTGGAGTTGAAAGCTGGAGGAGTTTAGGCATCCACCCTCAGCCCTAAGCACTGAACCTCGAACCCTAAACCCTTCAAGCCAATAGTACTTCACATGCCAGCAGCACGGCGGCACCGCGCGGACGTGGCGCACGGCACGGCGGTGCAAAGCCCAGGTGAGACGCCTCTCTCGGAAGTTTCAGGTTGGGGTTAGGGAGGATGAGGGTCCAGGGTAAAGGGCTCCAAAGCGCCTAGGGCCTCAGGGCCTTCAGAGTGTCTAGGTCTGTACAATCTCACGTTGCGGGCTTCAGGTTTCGATTCTCGGAAATAAGAGATGCTTTGGCATCCACATAGGATTAATTGCTGAGAATTTCTCTGAGCCCATGGGGCTCTTAAACCCCCAGCCTGGAACCGTAACAGGGTCTAAAGTCTAGGGCTTTGCTGCTTGAAGTCTTATGTTTGTGGCATCGAGTTCTGGGTTTGAGGTTCTCTTAGCGGGGTCTACTACCATCTCGGCACAGCTGTAGCACTCTCAGCCTGCATGTCGAACACAACACCTGTAAATCCAGCCACCTAGGGCCTAACACTGCAACCCTAAACCCTCCAAGGTAAACTTCCGGAGCGCAGGTGAACTGCAGATCCTACACATCGCTTACCGTCCGCCCACGGATTGAACATTTTGGCTTTCTTAGGATCAAGATTCAGTGCGGGCGAGCTTTAGTGTAGTGTAATCCCGGGACTTCGAAACCGCTTCACCACATAGGTAGAATTGAGAGCAGATTCGCTTATACCTTAGTTTAGATTTGGATGTGTATGCTCAGAACTCTCAACAAGCTGATGAATGCCCCTTTGCTGCAAAAACCGGAGCCTGGACAGACCCCATGACTTTTCCTGCAAGGTCCACAGTCCATGCAGGTCTCATGCACCTTGGCATCGCACTCAAAGCGTGCGTCCAAAGCCCCACAACCTCGCCCCTCACCCCTAAACCGCGAGACCAAAAGCCAGGAAGGCCTGAAGAAGAAGCGGTCATCCACGATGACCTTCGGCGCCCTCTCGGCCTGGCAGAGCCGCAGTGATGCGCTTTGCGGAGAACTTCGACGAAATGGGTTTTGAGAGGACGCAACATCGCCGCACGCAAGCCCAGCCGGTAAACAAGGCTTCTCGCTGCAGTTCAGCGGAATTGAAATTACACACTAAAGGTTGGAGCTTGCCCGGAATCCTCGATACTAACCTTGGAAAATTACCCTGTGTGAACTGTCAGGCTGAAACAGTTAGAAGGTTGCATAAGTGAAGGTGGGGGGTCAAGCAGTGAAGGGAGTCACCTGAACGAAAGCCCATGATGTGAAATGAAACTGAACATGTTGGATCAATTTTCTGGCTACCGAAAACGATGATACAAATGAGTACGTACTGACAACAGCGATAACAGCAGACCCTCCACCACAAACTGAATGCTAAAGACTACAACCCTACACCCTAAACGCCCCCCCCCCCAAAAAAAAAAACTATAAATAAATAAATATAAGACATAAAACATGACACCAAGCTAGCACCCGAAGAGCAACAACCCAACCACCTCCGGCTCGCGCCGCTCTGGCGAGAACACGGCGGCCAGGTCGGCCTAAAACGGTGCTCGGGTGTTGGGTGGGGCTGTGGGACATGTACATATAAATAGACATCAAGGAACGTGTATGTGTGCATTAATATATGTATATATATATATACATATATACATACATATGTCATATGTACCCCTCCCTGAAACCCCGCGCCGCAGACTCGCAGAAGCGCAGCTTCGCAGGTTCGGAGGCTCAAAAGTTCGCAGATTCGCTCGCAACCCCCGCCCCCCATGCGCCCACATATCTGTTTCACTGTAAGGGAACGTCTCTGACTTTCGCCATGGCTGGTCAAAAAAAACTGTAGGGTACTCTCTCCCTCCTATGTAGCTTGCTCTTCGACTGTCTTTAACCGACAGAGCAAAGCAGTGCTGCCTGGGAAATAGCGCTGCTCTACCCACAGGCACCATTCCTACAAAATCAAAACATCCAAAAATCCAATATGTTCGTGGAAATGCCAGAACCAATTTGGGATTGTTTTGATTTTGGAATTTGGGATTTCTGGTTTTTGAGTTCTCATGGACTCACGGAAATCCAAAACTCCAAAAGTCCAAAAATCCAAAATTGGTTCTGGCATCTCCGCCAAAACATTAGGTTTTTGGATTTTGCAAAAGTATCCGGTTTGTGGCTGCGCGTGCGTCCTGCACGCTTGCATAAGGCTTTTCGATCTGGTGCAAATCATGAGGGGTCTTCATGGCATGCAGCTTTGTTCCAAACATGTAAACATGTTGTTCTCAAAAAAACTCAACTAGAGAACCCAGGATGAGCTTTTCAAGGGCTGGTGCTTCTAAGACGATGCAGGGTAATCATGGTTCGTTTTCTCGCAAAATATTCATCTGTCACCCAGCTGGTGGACAAAGTAAAATAGTGTTCATCGTACATGTGTTTATGCTTCTACTAGATCATGTTTTGGTAATGTCGCAGTGAGTATGTAGGTAGCTTAGCATCTGACTACCTAATGCATCACTATTGATGATGAGTTTGAACGGTCATTTAGTGCAGTCCCAATCCCGAGACCAGCAATCCCAAACATTCATTTCGAACCTCCACGGAAAAGACAAAAAAAACCTGAACAAGCCGACCATCCTACGCTAGGCCTTGAACAACCTAAGGGCTCTGAGGTTTGGTTTTTTTTTTTGTCTGTGCCATGCGCGCATGTACGTTGCGCGCTTTGGCGCCTGCGCGGTCGGGTCTCGCAGGCTTTTAAGGAGCTTGCCAAGCATACTGTTCGTTTTGCCCATAAAGCTGCTNNGTAACTACGAGCGGTGTGGTCCCCTATCGAAGTTTCCGGAAAGTGGAGCTGAGAGGTAATTTCAATCCAGTAAGGGAACTGCATTCCTTTTCTACGACCCTGAGCCTGAATCCTATCTTTCATGGGATGACAAAATACTATGTTGTGCATCGGGTCGTCTGAGGAAGAGCAAACAATGTTGGCTAGAGCTTTGATTTGCAAGTTTTGTAGGGTAGTGGAGGGGAGTTGTGGTCGGTGGGCTTGGTTCCAGACACTCCAATTACTGATCCTCGAATAATATGTGGCCTTGATGTTTAGAATTCTACGCAGAAACTTATGGTACCATGCGTCAATCCTTCTAAGGTTTTGGTCGGTAAGGGTCAGGGCATCTAAGCCGTAACACAATGTGGGAACGAAGGTAGTGCGGAAGATATATAGCATATGTTTGCGGGATCTATTGCTGTTCCAGACCAGCCTAAGCTTTTTATAAGATTCTTCAGCTAGGTTTGGTGCCTAAAATCTGCAAAACAAAAGCAAACGTCATGGCGATTCCACACATGACAATCCAAACAACCGGGGCCACTGAGGCATCGGCGGTACAGTTCGGAAGCATCGTGCGGAGCCCATCTTGGTCTCTAGGCCGCCGTATCGATTTAGGCTGAAGGAGCGGAAGGCTTTCGAGTTGAGGGCTTCGGGTTCGAAGGCTCAGGCTCAAGGGCGGGTGGCTTTGCAGTCTGCGAGGCTGAGGGTAGGGATTGAAGGCTGCAGGCTAAGCTTCTGCACCCTTATCATTGGTTGAGCGAGGCTGTTCCTATTGTGTTGAAGCTGCTAGTTAAGGGTATCAGGCTAGAGGTTGAGATTCTATTCTTGGGCTTTGGGTTCATGTCGTAGGCTCCGGGGCTTAGGGCTTCGGCTTCGGGCTTAGAGGCTTACGCCTTCGGGGCATAGACGAACACCTTCCGGATCTTCTAACATTCAAATTTGCACGGCCGACTCATGCTTTGATCTCTGAAGCCGCGGCAGATTGACAAACGATTCCTGAAGTTTGGGGCTCCGAAAATAGGAAGTCTGCAACTCTCACGTAATCTAAAGGAGGCCTTAAATGGAACAACTCCATCTCGTGTTGAGGGCCTGAGGTCACAGTACAGCAAGAAAGGAGTAGCCACTTGAAGCCCGAGTTTGCTGCCGCCTATTCCAGCAACCGACACCCTAAACTCAAACCCAACTGGAAGAAGGCGGCCCTCAACACGAAAACTCAGTGAAAGGACCCAGACAATTAGCATGGTTGTGGAGCATAGCATAACGACCGCTATTAGGCCTATTAGGGGATCATCAAGGAATACTATGATGGCCTGAGACTGAGAAAGTAAAATGATAAATCAGCCTTGGGTTCTTTCTCCGCTTGTATCCCCACAAACCAAGTCCCCGGATATTCCGAATTGACTTCCGGGCAGTTGGGGAATAGCGCTTCGCACTCAGGGGCTGCCCTTTGTAGGGTCGATTAGATTCCGAAGCTCCCATTTAGGATGTAGAATGCTTGCCCTGTCAATATGGCAAGTCTCAGGGTTTGGTCCTTCTGGACTGGGGTTTAAAGATTCGGGGCTGAAAGGAGGGTGAGATTTCAGGGTCACCGGCCCTGCACCCGCGGTTCTATGGGGTTGAAAAGCGATATCCAGGAGTACGCAGGGCCGCCCAGATCTGCGAGTATCACCTAGACGTCTCTGCAAGCAACAGCATTCCAGCAATAGTCCCACCAGATTTCTTGTCAAGGCTGATATATTGTTGGCGGTGTTGCAGCTGAGCTACTGTGGGTATGGAAAAATCAAAATAACCATCGAATGCAGAGCCGGTCTGGAACAGCTAGAAGACTGCAACTAGACCGGACAACGGCCACCAAGTAAAGCCTCTCTCGGCTACACCATGGGCCCTTAACCCTCAAGCCCCAAAACCCTGAAACCCTGAACCCTAAACCCTAAGACCCTGAGCCCCCCCTCTCCCCAAGCACAAAAGAACGTGAGCCCGTAATCCTCCGGTGGCGCCGCCATGGATTTCGACGGCCTACTTCTACTGTTAGGGGCAAAAGCTTTTTCTTAGAGGGAGAATTCAGAGAGTGATTATTGTTATATCTTAGATACTACGCCTACCTACTATTGCATAGACTGAGTGCCTCCGATCGTGGAAGACAGGCTTGAGGCGTCTAGTGCACATGATGTTGAGCAAACGAGCCTCGGGCCTCGGGCCTCAGTGTCAAGGATGCGGGGGGTGTAGGGTCCAGGTCCAGACTTCAGGGCTCAAGGTCTAGCTTCAATTTCCGGGGGCCTGTTTTCCAAACTTTCTGCTTTTAGGGTTCAAGGCTTGGGGTCTTTGGCCTTCGGGAATTTCAAGTTTAAAGGGACAGAAGGTCGGTCTGCGGTGAACTCGAACACCTCAAAGGATCCCAAGAGGCCCCTGGCCCGACTCCTTGTTTAGGATGTATGCCAAGGGCCTTCATGATTCGAACAGAGTTTGCTGGGTTTGTGTTTTTGTGATGATGTGGATGCATGCGCGCTGCGACTACGTTCCGCATCCCGAACTGCCGCAGGAGCACTACACAGCAAAACCTATCCTCGTAGAGGGAGCAGTTCGCTAACAGCATGTAGCACCAAACTTGTCGCGATGTAGTCTGCAACAGAGCATGGAGGAAGCTACTACAGCTTGTAGGGACAAGTTTTGACTATAGCAGAAACCCATGGATATACCCGTAAGCCTAAACCCAAAGCCCTCTTAAACACTAAACAATGAAGCCTAAGCCCTCACGGCCCCCCAGCGAGCCTCCCGGACTCACAGCCACATGAACAGGCTTGCACTTAGTTTAGGTGCTTTGGAGTTGTCTTAGAGCTCAGCCGGCTTAGAAGGCTAAGGGCTAAGCGTTTCTAGGCTTGTCTCTAGGGCTGCAAATATCTCGAGTCCTGTTAAACGGCCAAATTCCACGAAGAACTGCAACATTTGTTCAAGAAGATGCCTTCAAGATGGGCTGTCCTCGGCTTCATGTGACCTTTGTTGATGAATTCCCACCTGATTCTCGCATGCCTCTACTGATGTCAAGTTCTGTTGGACTCCGGGGTGCGGTGGGGGTTGGGGTACGCGCGTCTGGCTGCCACGTTTCTGGCTGCCTGGGTGAAAGCCTCCATGCGAGCCAAGCGCAGCGTCGGTGGTGGCATTCGCTGAAAATCAGTGGGGGGGGGCTTTGGGGATGGAGTTTGGATTTTACGGCCGCGGGGCTTCATCTGGATCTCTTAGGGTCTAGGGTATTTGGGCTTGCTCAGGTTTAGCGCTTGAGGCCCTCATAACCCAAGAGAGAAGGGCACTGGACCTCCTTCGGAGTCGTGAGAGAACGACCCTCCACACAGCAACCCATAGTCAAGTCTGATGGTTCAAGGTGGATCACAAGAGTTTGCCTGATCTTGGGACTGCATGGACAGTCTATGCGTCTTGGAAAGCTAAACCGGAGTTGGGATCATGGACATTGGGCAGATTCGTCTCGATGACCCCAACAGGCGCCAAAAACCAAAAAACTGCCTCAGGGTCTGGTGATTTAGAGCCAAAAGAGTTGAATAAGCTGCTTATGTCCCTGTGGCCTGGTGAGTTTGGGCGTGCAGGGCCGAATCTGCGAAATTGGGGTCGTGGTCCGGGGCTGAGCTGAGGCATCTGCAGGGCTGTGTATCGCACAGGCGCAGCATGCTGTGGCATCGGCCTTGCACGGCCTGTTACACACATCGGCGCCGAATGGAGACAGTTCATTCTAGCAAAATAAACCTGACAACCTGTGTTCCTTCTAACGGCAGGTTCGACAATACCCCAGATGTAAAACTCTAACCTATCTAACCCTTTGAGCATCGTGCCTGAAACTAAAGACGCCGCGGGCACAGACCCTGAAAGCCTCTGACCTACAAACTAAACTCTGAAATCTAGACCCAGTTTTAAACCCTGGAACCTGAACAAAAGCTGCCAACAAGAACACCCAACAAAGATAGATGTCGACAATAATGACAGCAGTCATCATCGTGATGGCAGAACACAAACCCCTGCGAGACCTCCGGTGTTCTCAGGCCACAGAGAATTCGATGCAGGGGCAGAGGGATGATCTTGGTGCTGAGGCGAGTCGAGGGTCTATGCCTGGTGGGGTCTAGACTCAAGATCTTGCAAAGTGCAAAAACTTGTGAGTCCTGAGCCTACAGTACTCTAAGTCGCTATACTCTAACAGTACCAACAGGCCCTAACACTTATGCGCTTATGCCCTGGAACGTACACCTGAATCCCGAGTAGTGACCAAGCTGGCAGATGGCTGCATAATTCCATCCGCAACAGACAGACTACCCTCCGAGCGATCACGATACTGCCACACTCTACGGAGCACTCAACTTACTAAAGCCATCAAAGCACCACATTATATTTACTAAGTTCACCAGGCCTCAAACTTTTCTCCGGCTGGTGGACTACATGTCCCCGGCGGTCCTGCGTGGGGTGACACTGGGGAGCGGTTGCCGCAATCTACCAGAACTTTCATCCACAATGCGCTCGTGGATCACGTCTGAGTAGTCCTTTGTCGATGCAGGGCTCAGGATGTGGCAGCATCTGTATGCAGTTCAAGTCTTAGGAGTGCTGACGGACACTTTGGAATGTGGTGTTGGACACATGGTCGCAGATTTCTCAGGTTTTTGGTATACATGGGTTCAAGCATGCAAAAGACCGATCTCCCTCCATGCAGGCGCTGTGTCAAGCTTGCCGTGTGCACTGGCCTCTAGCAAGACCGATGCAGCTCCATCCCACCCGAAACCTAAACATCTTTCACCCAGATTCCGAGGTTTTTACATCCTAGATGACAAACCCCAAATACGTTTTCGTGTGATGGTTCTGGGCTCCCTAATTGGGATATTGGATAACTTTGCAACCCAAGCATCAACGCAGGCGAGGCTGTTCCGGAAGTTGTCCTGCATCATAGGGGTTCCCAAAGTCGAAACCCGGAAGCCCCTAAGCAATAGTCAATAGGCCCTGGCAGGTCCCTGGGGAGTAGTAGTGGATCTTGGCTTGGATCGAATTAGCACTGGACAAACAAAGATCGCAGGCGTTCAATAACGGTCTGAGTGTGTTTGGCTGCCTGCGCCGTGAACACATGCCGGTTTGGGACTCGGGATTAAACTTTGCGGCTGGAGACGCAGATGACGCTCCTGCTTGGGACCGGAGATGCCGCGGTCGAGATTCCACAGTCTGATCCCTACAACTAGACTCTGTAACTAGACGTCACACTCTCGAAGACCAGACCCTGAACCTGGAAGCCCTTAGATGCTGCACCAAGAACTTTTTTCGAAAGCTTGGGAAGAACATTCGGGCCTGAGCCCAAGCCTTGCAAGCTAGACTCTAAGCCTCAACCCTAAAACCCGAAATCCAGGATGTGGCGAGTGGGTCTCCGGCACGTTATAACGCACAGCAAAGAGCCTCCCATGTTACACGAAGTTTGTCCGCCTCCGGGTGCTCGTAGTCATCCGCATTGCAAGGGAAGTCCGAGTCTATGCGGCAGACTGGCTCCGCCTCCGCATAGGAATTCCTTGCTCGGACAGCGTTCAGGAGTGAAGGTTCCGGCTGAGTTTGAGTTGGGACTTCGAGCTGAAGGTGCTGGGATGGTTATGGGAGCTGGGCTTGCATCTCTTGTTGGGGCTTGTTGGGGGTTTAGGGTCTATGGGCGCAGGAACTTGAGATTCGAAGATCCCCTCAAAAGAAAAAGTCGTGCTTGAGAAATCTATTAGAACTCCAACCAGGCCCTAGCGGCTCTAGCGCTCCAATCCAAGAACCGCACTGAAATATCTAAACTTCGATATCTCAAGCAATGGAGAATCACCTTTTAAACCCGGAGGTGTGAAGCCCAAAACTGTGCTTGTTCCGAAAAGCAAGATGCCTTGACTCAGAAGTATTTTTCGGCGAGAAATACAAAGCATTTACATTGAGCTCTAGATTTCGGGTTTTGTTTTGGGGTTCAGATACATACACTTCGCAATTGGAGCCTCAGAGTTCAGGTTCAGGACTCCTGGTTTGGAGTGGGTTGTGGTGTTTCGGGCTTCCGATGGTCAGATCCGGGCAAATCGAAAAGCTTACATCCCCCGCAAGCATACACCCGCAAATCGAAGCACCCTTATAACTCAGACCCCTACTGACTTGATACAACCAGATTCCCTGAACAACGATAGCAGCAGATATCTACACATACAGGGTTGACGATGATGATGTTGATACTGATGCTGATGATGGTGATGATGGTGATGGTGCTGATGGTGATGATGGTGATGATG